TTATGAAATTGGAAAGCACGATAATAAAAGCAGAACGACGAGAAACACCTATCTGATGAAACAGCACCTCAAGTTGTCTTATGTTAGATTAAGAATTTGTCTTCATTGGTGTAAAAGTGGCGTTCAAAATTCAGAATCAAAGGGTCACAAAATTAATTCTTACAAAATCTTAGTGGTAAATAATTCAAAGCAGCAATACGTTGTTGGAACCTATAAAATAAAATACAAAAAGAGATGAAGTGTTCTAGAAATAGTACTGTCTATCGTATACGATAAGATCCGTTAGAAGAAACCATATGCTGTACCGTGTAAAAGGTAGTTAGTAGTGTTAACCATTCTTCACATATATACCGCGCTATCCATCATGTATGAAAAAAGGCTAGCTGTTATTTCAATATCAAAACTGATTATCGTACATTTCCGGGTCAGTTACATTGAAGTGCAATGAAATGGATAGCTCTGAAACCTACAGTAATATTTCGATCGATAATATAATTACACTCAAAGTCATCGTCGTCCTCTCCAAGCGGGTTCAGCAAAGCTTCAGCTACCTGAACAAGTCGTAAATTCTGTTGTTCACACTTTCATGCAACAAGAAAACATCTCTAATTTCATGCTGCTTTTCGTTGCTACAGATTCTTTGAGCATCTACGTTGTAGAATGGATATGGGTATTCATGTATATTTTATTAGTAACGAACAAGTAAAATACCCTAGCGTACAATTGTTTCTCATTACTTTTCTCCTGGATTTCACACAAGGATTTTGTGGGAATTTTGTCTATAAGTCCATTCACAAAATTCACAATGTTCTTGTATTTGATGCTTGCTTCGATTATTCGTCATCCTGCGATCTTTCACAATATCTGGCATCTTCTCATACTAACTTCATACAATGGAAGCGGATAAGGATCAGAAACATTTAAATTACATTCTACCAACTATTTGAACACATTTGCTCCTCAGCCCTCCCATTATAACAAGATCTGCGCAGTAATTATTTACGTTTTCAAGCGGGGTGCCAGTTTCACGAGGTTTAAACCTTCAAAGTGGTGCTTTATAAGTTGTTTATTCTTTTATTTATGCATACTCTCTGGACTGCAGGACTCTCTTATAAATGCATGAGTTTGAGCAATCACGAGTATCT